CATACAGGGACTGTGTTCAGTGTTCTAAGAAGCAAGTTCAGTGTCCTCAAGTCTTGTTACCAGGAGGTATTGGAATATCCAATCACTTCCCACTGCTGTCCAAGTTCAGCTCTTTATTAAAGCAGCAGTAAATCATCCCCTAGAGTCTAGACTGTTTCTTGCATGTATGCCTGGCTGCTGGGCAATTACGGGAAAAGACCTAGGGGCCTACAAAATTGCTGGCTCCTACAGCTACTGTTACATATACAGTATCTTTTGGTAGATGATATAGTGTACAAATATCTCTATGCACACTTTATATACAGTGCATATAAAACTGTAAGCCATCTTACAGTTGGGGGAACAGGTCTCAGCTGTTTGTAGGCAAAGTGTATCCTGCAGCTAATACTAGTAAGTGACAGTTTATTTCTAATTAGCACTTTTTATGTCAGTTCGTTAATGACGATCCAGCATTCCACAGACAAAGTGGTCACCATAGCAATGTACTCTATTAATATCAGTATAAAGACGTGGCCGCAACAGTCAGTAAGTGAACTGTGCAGAGATGGGCCCCTGGCTTCAGTTGTCCCCTTTCATCATACAGCAGTCAAGTTCCAGTATCATACAGAAGATGAGTATAGGGGCCTTGATATAATATATAGCCACAGGTGTGAGGCCCTGGTATATAAGAGATGTCATTATGGGGCCCCTGGTATAATACAGCATAAGGCATGGGACCCCTGGTATAGTAAAGCAATTGGTGCGGGCCCCCGATATCATATAAATAATTTTGTGGGGCACCAAGTATTATATAGAAGCTGGCATGGGGCCCCAGGTATCACATAGAAGATAGTGTGGGGCCTGGTCTCATACATCAGCTAATAAGAGGACTCTGTATACTGTAGTGCCTCATATCATACAGCAGCTGGTGTAAGGCCTCTGGCATCTTATAGCAGCCAGTGTAGGGCCCCTATCACCACACAGCAACCATTGTGGGCCCCTGGTATCATACAATAGCCAGTGTGGGACCCCAGGTATTATACAGTAAACAGTGTAGGCACTTGCATCACATTATAGGACTCCTTGTATCATACAGTAGCCATAGCCCCAGAGTGGGGCTTTTTGTGTCCAGCAGCAACCAGTGCAGGGCCTCTGGTGTCCTGAACATCAGATCTAAAAAATGGCCACGAAAAGTGACCACCAATCAGTTATTAGTATGCTGCAAAATGGCCCTTTGATGTCTGTGTATGTTGGCAGAAAAGTTACTCTGGATTGTAACTATTCTACCTTGTTCTAGTAGAGGGGCCATATATTCCTGCATTAGGATTTTAAAAAAAGGTAAATCAGTTATTACTGGCTCCCCCATTTTTAAGTAAATGGAAGCACTGGATCCATTAGGAACTCACATATCGAGTCCAGGATGAGAATAATAAAGGCAGCTCTTAAGCCAAATTCACCATATTCATAGTTCGGAGTTTCAGATAAAGCCAACCAAGCTAAACTTTGAAGAGCACAAAAAACTATATCCAAAGAGGTTTCAGATGCTCTAAAGTCCATTTTTGTTGCTTGCATTTCTTAAAGTTCTTGCTTCTTCAAACTTTAAAAGTTAAAAAAGGCAGCCTAGAATTGCTGTTCTAAGTCATCACTAACCATCTATTCTCAAGGAGGCTGGACATGAAAGACAGTAAGACAGAATGCACTGGATACTGTGCACTATGCAGGCTGATAGATATGCTGGGAGGTAAAAATAGAGCTTGCAGATGTGTTAGAATGTATGCTGAGTGGAAATGGTGACCATCCTTTGTGGTGTCAAAAGGCCATACTTGCCCCCCCCCCCCCCCCATTTACATATGTGTCAGTACAGCTAGAAAATTCATTAGCAGCAACTACATACAATATGACATGGAAATCCCAACCAAATGTCTCCTTACTGTGCCAACATCTAGTAGGGGGTGGGGCCAATGCATAGGGGCCTGATGGGTCATTTTATCCCCCCCCCCCCCCCATAAGACACTCCAGCGGCATCCTGCAGTTTTCATAATAGCTATGTACATTTTGTGCTGTCTTAGGGAAAAATTGACTTCAGGGAGACCACATTCCACACATCGGGAGTAAATAACTGCTACATTTGAAAGAGAGCTTGTTCTATTAAAACACAACAGACCTACTGGCTGCATCACTAGATGATAAAAAGTGGAAATTGTGTAATGTTATTCTACATGGCAAGAAAACCATTTCTTTATGTACAGGCCTATAGATACCTATTATTTAGTTCTACAGAAAGAACAGTTACATTTTGCAAAGCTTACGTTTTCAGTTTTGCCATTTTATTTTGCATAAACTGTCTTTCGGTAATAAGAGGCCCATTTGTTCCACAGCAGCTTACCATCAATAGAACTTAAAGGATTTCAAACTACCCCAAAATGGCTGCTGCAATGCAGCAATGTAAAACAGGCACTATCATCACAGACAAACAATTTATCAGACAGAGGAGAAGGTTCTGTCTGAGAAGAAAAACATCTAAGAGCGCCATCTTGGAAAGCTGCAGAGAGCAAATGAGAGAATCCCCACAAAAAAATCTGTCCCCCATCCTACAGAGAGCTGACTACTGCATTATAAGTGACACACAGTCTTCACAGAGGATTCAGAGCTTTGTCCCCCATCCTGTAGTCTGTCATAGAGAACAGTGGAAAGCTGACTACTGCACTTGAAGCGGCACTTAGTCTAAACAGTGGCAATATTATATGAATGTAGCAACCTCCTAGATAGGTGCTAGGTTAGATAAATTTAGTTCTTTGGCTCGCCTTCTGGATAGTTCTGGAAAGTACTGGGCTGTATGAAGCAAATCAACAGTTGAATATTTATGTTGTCCCAGCCAATCCCTTGGGGTTTGAAGCCTGCAGCTGCCCTGTTCTTGTCCTGTAGGATACTTTTTGGTGCTTAACTAGATTGGGAGCCTCTTTGTTTTTATGCAGGTAAGCTTCTATTGGTTCCACAAACAAAGGATTATAAAATCCAAGCTAACCTCCCAGAAATACTCTACTGTTTTTGTGAAGGGAACAAGTGAGCCTCCAAGACGTATTCCATAAATCAGATTAGAGTATGAGGCCTTTTCCTGGAAAAAATTCTCCTTCAAATCTTTACAGCAGGTGGAAGGAAAGGGAATGTCTACCATCATCTCGCTTTCACTCTCAATGTGTTCTGGTTTATATTTAGGACAGTTTCCTGAATGGTGACAGTTTTCCATGTTTAACTTTAGTGTCAGAAAAAAGCTGCAGGTGTTGCTCCAAGGAGTGATAATGACACTAAGAACTGTGTCATAGCATGCATATGAGAAAAGTAATCAGATTCCCTCCTGCTAACCATTAATGATTGTTCTACTTGTGATTATTCATGTTCATTATCATGTTTTTCCTACTGATAACTAAGGAATACAAGTCCAGAGGTGATGATGAACTACTGCCCCAGAAAGATGCTGGTGTGATTTGTTGACTCATAGACTGCTCGATTCTTCCCGATCCATGGGACTCTTCAGTTCTTCAGGATTCATGGACTTCATGGTTCTTGCTAACTCGGTTCTTGTGGGCTTCTTGCAACCGCTTCAAACTACTCAGTTCTCGTCAATCTCAGTTCTTTCTGGCTTGCAGACTTATTTTTTTTCTAAACGTGGACTTCGCAATTCTTTCGGACTCGCAGACTCCTCACCTCTTTCACATTCATGGGGGGAACCCCGCTGACAGCTGATGACTCATTGGTTTCCCTTAACAATTAGTTCATACCGCATGCCTCAACCACTACTTAATTACGGCATGGATTTAATTATCTATTTCCTTCCGTGAATTGACTTTAAGGTCTTTTTCTGCTGTATTTACCAAGCATTTTTGCTATTTGCGGTAAATACCGCATACTAGCAATAGTAAATTATAAGTATTTTTCAGACATTTTCAGTATTGCATGCGAAATGTGGCCACCTGACCGACATAAAATCTTTGGATTTGACTAGCTCATGGTCTCCTTGGTTCTTGGTAACTGACAGGCTCCTCAGCTCTAAATGACTCGTCGACTCCTTAAGTTTTTCTCACAGAATCTTTGGATTTTACTATCTCATGGACTCCTTGGTTCTTGGTAACTGACAGACTCTTTTATTTGAACTGACTCGCGAACTCCTCAGCTCTTTGATGCTCACATAATCTTTGTTTTTTACTAACTCATGGATTCCTTGGTTCTTGGTAACTGAAAACCCTTCAGTTCTAACTGACTGGTGGACTCCTCAGTTTTTACTTGCTCACAGGCTCCTTTGTTCATAGCCATTTGCCCATTGAAAGTGCATGTACACTCCTTTTGTGCCAATGTTTTACATTCGAAAAGCACAAGAACAGTCTATTCACCTTCATTTTTTTGCCCCACTGGCACAGAATGAATGTACACGCACTTCCACAGAGTGAATGGATATGAAAGTTTTTTATACATCAACCCCTATATGTTCATAATAAATTGTTCAAAAAAATTCTTAGGTGTGATTTTTACCTTATATCTCTGGTTTTGAACAGTACCATTCATTGCAGTTGATTCAAGAGCCCACCAAGTCAAACTTTGTCTGGCACTATAAGAATTGTGCAGCCCTAGACAAGATTTGTTGTTAGCAAACTGACTTGATTAAGCAGCCATATAACCAGCCATAAGGCTCTTAGCGTACTCTGCTAGAACAGAAAGGTTACAGAGAGTTTAAATGGTCATACTGTCACTAATGTCTATATAGCATGGAATGAGACATATCTTTGCTATTAAGATGGTGCCATGTTTTTTACCCAGCAATCCATCTTGAACTAACAAAAAAGACCTGTAACTCGAGTGCTCCTTACACTACCTGAACAATTACATTGAGTAACAATAATACGCTTTTTACAAGTTGTGGAATGAAAGAAAAGTGTACAAGAGTGAGCTCCGATCATAGTAATTGATGTCCAGGTAAGAATTTCTAGAAATTTTCAGATGTGAGAGTTGACATGAGACAGTCTTACCTTGTACAATGAGGTGTATGCGGGAGGTTTTGGGGTGATTGTCTGTCTGGACAGAGCATGTGTACGGTCCCTCATCATAGATGTCCACATTTTGGATCTTGATGCTGTATTGGGTCTTGGTGTTGGCTACCAGAACCACACGGGGGTCTATAGACCACTTGTCATTGCTGGTGTATAAGATGGTGCTGCGGTTCAGCCAGGCCACCCGCGTCACTCGATTGTCCACTGCGCACCTGCAGATTTAAAATCAGTCTGGTTACACATCAGAAAGAAATTCAGTTGAAAGAATGTGACAGCTGCAAAAAAATTTCCATTAAGTAAAATGAACCAGTGAAATGTTAATGCTATACAGAAAGCACTGAAAATGTAGGACTGACGCTTCCTGTTGCATGAATACCAGTAACTTCCACTTCCAATGAGCTCAAAAAGAACAAATGGTGCTGAGAACACACAGGATCAAGGTTGTTCAGAAGAATGCAGAAACTGCCAACTGATTTGGCCAGCAGTTGATGAATACAGGGTGAATGTCACAGCTGATCAGCGGGCAGGTAGAGTCCTTTGGATCAGTGGGACGTGTACTGTTTCTAACCTACAATCAATGAATGCAGCTTTGTACTAACACTTCACACACAACATAATGACATGACTGGTGAATCTGAACATACATATCTACAGATACCACAAAGTTGGGAGAAATTTGTTCTTTTTCCTGTTTACAAATGATAAAATGTAATAGATAATCCCTGTTAGTTACACAGCCTGGCGTTTATTAATAAACTGGTCCATTGACCTGCAAGCACAGTTTATTAATCCTGCTACTTCTGATAAGGTTGCTGTGCTCTGTTAGCACTGATTGATGATGTTGTCATCAAGCTTGCTCTTTGCATGGCATTTGTGGAAAACTCTTTGAAAGTGGTATAAATGTAGGGGAGCTTAGGAAGGTCTATTAGGCCACATAGACACAGTGAAGAGATCCCAGTCCCTAATACACATAGGAATGGGACCACTCTCCAAAGAATACAGGAAAAGGCCACATAGGCACGGGAAAGGGACATACTGTATGATACAAGGACAGGCCAGAGGGACACAGGGAAGGGATCTTTGTCCATAGGATACAGGGAGAGGCCACACAGACACAAGGAAATGAGGATCTCTGTTCATAGGATACAGAGAGAGGCCACATAGACACAAGGAAGCAATTTCTGTCCATAGGATATAGGGAGAGGCCACATGGATACAAGGAAACGATCTCCATCCATAGGATACAAAGGGAGGCAACATGGACACAAAGAAGTGATCTCTCTCTATAGTATACAGGGAGTGGCCACAGAGAGACAAGGAACTAATCTTTGTCCATAGAAAACAGGGAGAGGCCACATGAACACAAGGAAGTGATCTCTGTCCATAGGACACAGGGAGAGGCCACATGGATACAAGGAAGTGATCTCTGTCCATAGTATACAGGGAGAGGCCACATGGACACAAGGAAGTGATCTCTGTCCATAGTATACAGGGAGAGGCCACATGGACACAAGGAAGTGATCTCTATCCATAGAATACAGGGAGAGGCCACATGACACAAGGAAGAAATCTCTGTCCATGGGATACAGGGAGAGGCCACATGGACACAAGAAAAGTGATCTCTGCCCATAGGATACAGAGAAAGGCAAAATGGACACAAGCAAAGGATCTTTTTCCACAGAAAACAGAGAAAGGCCACAGGAACACAAGTAAGCAAGGAATTGATCTCGGTCTATAGGGTACAGGGAGCTACATGGACACAAGGAAGCAATCTCTGTCCATAGGATACAAAGAGAGGCAACATGGACACAAGGAAGTGATTTCTGTCCATAGTATACAAGGAAAGGCCACATGGACACAAGGTAGTGATCTCTGTTCATAGGATACAGGGAGAGGGCACATAGACACAAGGTAGTGATCTCTGTCCACAGGATACAGGGAGAGCCCACATGGATACACGTGATCTCTATCCATAGTATACAGGGAGAGGCCACATGGACACAAGGAAGTGATCTCTGTCCATAGTATGCAGGGAGAGGCCACATGGACACAAGGAAGTGATCTCTGTCCATAGGACACAGGGAGAGGCCACATGGATACAAGGAAGTGATCTCTGTCCATAGTATACAGGGAGAGGCCACATGGACACAAGGAAGTGATCTCTGTCCATAGTATACAGGGAGAGGCCACATGGACACAAGGAAGTGATCTCTATCCATAGAATACAGGGAGAGGCCACATGACACAAGGAAGAAATCTCTGTCCATGGGATACAGGGAGAGGCCACATGGACACAAGAAAAGTGATCTCTGCCCATAGGATACAGAGAAAGGCAAAATGGACACAAGCAAAGGATCTTTTTCCACAGAAAACAGAGAAAGGCCACAGGAACACAAGTAAGCAAGGAATTGATCTCGGTCTATAGGGTACAGGGAGCTACATGGACACAAGGAAGCAATCTCTGTCCATAGGATACAAAGAGAGGCAACATGGACACAAGGAAGTGATTTCTGTCCATAGTGTACAAGGAAAGGCCACATGGACACAAGGTAGTGATCTCTGTTCATAGGATACAGGGAGAGGGCACATAGACACAAGGTAGTGATCTCTGTCCACAGGATACAGGGAGAGCCCACATGGATACAAGTGATCTCTATCCATAGTATACAGGGAGAGGCCACATGGACACAAGGAAGTGATCTCTGTCCATAGTATGCAGGGAGAGGCTACATGGACACAAGGAAGTGGTCTATGTCCATAGGATACAGGGAGAGGGCACACAGACACAAGGAAGCAAACTCTATCCATTTGGTATGGGAAGAGGCTACATGGATACAAGGAAGCAATCTCTGTCCATAGGATACAGGGAGGGGCCACATGGACACAAGGAAGTGATCTCTGTCCATAGGATACAGGGAGGGGCCACATGGACACAAGGAAGTGATCTCTGTCCATAGGATAGAGGGAAGGGCCACATGGACACAAGGAAGTGATCTCTGTCCATAGGATACAGGGAGGGGCCACATGGACACAAGGAAGTGATCTCTGTCCATAGGATACAGAGAAAAGCAACATGGGCACAAGGAAAGGATCTCAGTCCAGAGGAAACCGAGAGAGGCAACATGGGCACAAGGAATGGATCTCAGTCCACAGGAAACAGAGAGAGGCAACATGGGCACAAGGAAAGGATCTCAGTCCACTGGAAACAGTGAGAGGCAACATGGGCACAAGGAAAGGATCTCAGTCCACAGGAAACAGAGAGAGGCAACATGGGCACAAGGAAAGGATCTCAGTCCACAGGAAACAGAGAGAGGCAACATGGGCACAAGGAAAGGATCTCAGTCCACTGGAAACAGAGAGAGGCAACATGGGCACAAGGAAGTGACCTCTGTTTATAGGCTATGGGGAGAGGCCACATGGACACAAGGAAGCAATCTCTGTCCATTTGATATGAGGAGAGGCCACATGGAAACAAGAAAACAATCTCTATCCTTTTGATATGGGGAGAGGCCACATGGACAGGAAGGGATCTCTCCCCACAGAATACTGGGTAGGGTTACGTGGATACAAGATGCATATATCGACGGAAAGTTTAGTACAACATAAACAATTACGGCAGGTATATAGGATATTTATACATATCTTTGTGCCAGACCTAAAAGGAGGGACATTTGAGGAATAATGAGGGACACAGGGATTATGTTCCAAAAGATAAACAGTTGAGACCTTTATAATTGTGTATTACAAATGGCACATTTTTAGTGGTTTTGTCCTGTTCTCTCACATCTGGACAAACTCTGCTAGAACACACTTGGAGCATGCAGACGGGATAAAAGATGGCTACACAGCAAGACAGGGAAATAAAAAAATGGGATTCTGTATTTTTCTATAAAAGTATAAGCAAATTGCAGCTGGTCTAGATTGCTCTCCGTATTTAATCGGATCCCTTTCAATGGTAATAAGGTTTATCACAAACAAGAATGCTCCTCAAAAGCAAATCTTATGACACGGAGATTAATCCATAGAATCCACAGAACAGAAGTATGGAAAGATTGCTGCTCAGAACTTACAGACACCAGGAGGAGCTCTTCTAGCACAAAGCAACGCACAGCAGAAGACTCTTATGCAGAAGCTTACCTTGAGACATGATCAGCAGAGGGCCTCTTCTCACAGTCACTATGAGGAGCACTGACAGCCAAGATGAATAAGACATAAACAGTGACATTAGCTACCCCATTCTTACAGTCATTGGGACACTGAGAGATGAGGCACAATCAACAGGAGGAGCAACTCCATGCTGTGTGCTGCTGGCAGTATGGAGATAGCATGAGAGAGCAGCCACACCTAGCTATCACTGTATATGTACAAGCCTCACAACAGAAAAAACAACCAACGCAATTTAGCTTTCATTCTCTAGCCAGGAAATCTGATTGATATGGGCAGCAAATGAGCCCAATGAAGTGTTTGCCACCCCCTGGAAATACAAATCTCTAGGAATTGTAGCAATAGCCTGAATAAATGCAACTCCCATAGAAGGTTCTGCCACTAAACTAATCCTCATAATAATACATGGGCCAGAAAAGAAATATACCACATAAAGAAAGGAGCCAGAGCAAAATAATCACCTTATAACTAATCGACCTGTCAATGAATGAGACATAATGATCTCTGATCACAATGAAAGCAATAGATTGATCTCCGTCCACAGTTTGGAACACAAATCCTGAATCCTGGGATCCAAACAGAAAAATGTGCACAGTATAGGAGACTACAAGTGACCCGTCTCTACCACGTATAATCTGTTTTACCAAAATATAACCTGTGCCCCCAAGTATCACCTGTTCCCTCAAAGTATTGTTTACCCAAGTTGTGTGCCCTCCAAGTATGACATGCGGCCCAAATATTGTGTGTGCTTCCAAGTATCATATGTGTCCTCCAAGTATCATATGTGGCCTTGAAATTTTGCATTTGTATCGCAAATATCTTGTGTACCCACCAAAGTATCATGTTTGCCCCCCAAGTTTTACATTTGGCCCCCATGTACTGTATATCCACATTGCGATTCATCCTTCTTCACAATTGTCCCTGAGCTTATTGTATCAGAGCTGATTAATAGATCTGCATGAACACAAGCACTGATTAGTTTTAAAGTAGGTTATTTTGCTTCATATAACCTGGACTAGATAAATGAATATGATCACTACGGGGAAAAACACTTTG